CCTTGCCTGAGCCCCGTAATCCGCCAATTACTGCTGCAGAATTCCTCCCTCCACAGCCCCTTCCTGGCATAGCCACACCTTGACGGCCTCCATGGAAGGCGTTCCCACCCACTCCTGCCTCAGCCAGGCCATGGCGCAGGGCCTCAGTGTAGGACTGTGAGAACCGGGCAGATCTGCTTGTCCATCACACGCCCTCCTGTCTTCTAGTCCTGGTCCCTTAAGGATCTGGCCCTGGAGCAGACTCCCCGCCTCCACGGCACCGCAGGGGGAGGCTGGGTGTCCTGGGACCCGCCCCCCCGCGCTGTTAGACAGCAGCCTCAGCCTTTGCCTAATGATGCCAGCACGCAGGCACGGCTGCATCTCCAGGGTGCAGGAGCACCTTTGTGAGAAACTGCTGTTCTGCAGTCCGAGCTGAAGGGAGCTCAGGGCTGCCACCTGCGCACTGGGACCAGCTCCTAACGCTCCCGCTGGCGTCCCAGGAAGCCGGCACTGCAGCCAGGTGGAGCCGATGCATGGCCCGGAGCTGTGGTCTGCGTGCAGCTGGGCCCCGCGCCCTGCCTTCCCTGGGCTCCCCTTGGAAAGTCAGCACCTACTTGGCCTCTGGCCAAGCCTCTTAGGAAGAAGGAAATGGGGTCTGATGTGGGGAGACAAGGCCCCCAGTCAGTGCCCATGGGGGCTGAGGCTGAGACTGAGCTGGGGGAGCTCTCCCGCCCCCCTGCCATCCCAGTCCCCTGAGCTCTGTCCAGAACTCCGTGCGCCTTCCAGCCCCTCTGCGGGCAGGGACGAGACAGGATTGCGGGAACACCCAGGCTGAACGCTGGGCCAGCAGGGGTGCAACTAACCCGCCCCCTGAGGTGGTTTCTTCTGGAAAGAACGTTCTGTCTCTGCCATGGTGGGGAGGCGTACAGGCGGGCAGCACCGGCTCTCCAGGCCAGATGGCATCTGGGTGGCAGGACAGGTCGGCAGAAGCCTGGAGGGACGTGCCAGGGCGTCCGTGAGGAGGGCGTGCAGCAGAGCTGGCCTGGCCTAGCACGTGCTCTGTCCACACTGGGCCACTCACTGAGCAGTTCGGCCACGATTTAAGGAGGCACACTCTTCTCGTTTAATTAACTGGAGGCCCCATGCTGGCCAGTCACGGACAGGCCCGCTTCAGCCGGGGAGCCCTGCTTGATTCACACTCACAACAGTCCGAGAAGCTGGCACTGCAGCGCGGCCTGGTTTGGCCGGGTAGCCTGATTGACGGGTCCGCTGAGCAGGCCCAGCCCCTGAGATGTACAAATCGTGGGGCCAGAGGGCGAGGAGCCGCGCCACATAAATCCCGGTGTTTGTGCGGTTTTGTGCACCCCTGGGGGGCCGTAGCTGGCTGATGGTTATTTATGCGTCTGAAGTGGCGGGTGAGGGAGCGGCCTGCAGCAGCCTACTTTAAATACGCCCCCTCTAAGGCGCTGGAATTGGAGCAGAGGTGCCCTATAAATCTGAGGGAGATCACCGTCAGCAGACCCTGGCCAGCCGGTGGGTGAGGGAGACTGTGCCTCAGGGAGGGCCTGCTTGCGCCATCCCGTGGATGGGAGAGCAGGGCCCAGCCTGCCCCGGTTGGCTGTCTGTCGGCCTGCGAAGGCTCGGGCTGTCCATCGCGAGCCGACTGCACGATCCTCCAGTGCCCCGTGACGGCCAGGCCAGGCCACATGACGTCATTTGACTCCGTGGGGGGTGGAGGGATGAGGGAGCAGAGGACAGGGAGAGGGAGCCTAGGCAGGCCCTGCTGGGGACGCTGTGTCCGGCCCCTGCTGTCCCCCCAGTCCTCCTCCACAGCCAGTGGGATGTGGCTAGTCCTGCCCTCTCCCTGGAAGCAGTCATGGCCACCCCTCAGGTGGACTCGAGGGACAGAGGACCAGTCAGGCAGGCGCGGGGTCTCGGCTCCCCAGAAAGTCGGTATCTGGAACCGTTAGCTGGTTTTCATGTCCCTGGGCCCCCATGTGACCAGGTCCTGCTGGACAGCATTTCTCAAAGCATGGCCCCTGAAGCACACGCCCAGAGCTGTCAGAAACGTCACTCTAACATGCGGATTCTGAGCCCCAGTAGACACCGACCCCAGACCTCTGGGGCGCGGCAGACTCGCTGCCTTGCCCAGCTCCCTGGAGAACTCATGTTTGCACATGGCTCCCGGCCCCCCCCC